AGTGCGATTCCCGAAAAGTTTCATTTCGGGAAGCTTTACTCCGCGGCGCACCCGCTGTGCGCGCACGACCTGCCTTCAGTGCCTCGGCTTTGCTTTGACAGTGGCTTCTTGCTGTATTTTTCTTTTTTCATATTCTTCTCTGAATGTTGTTTCCTCTGTGCAAATGCTTTTCATTTACTGAACTGTTTTTTATCGCTTCGATCGCAATTAAGAATAGTGCTTGCTCTGCTGTCTTTGGTACTTTCCTCATTCATATTGTTCAAGTTGGTAAAAAAAGCAGGCTGCTCAAAGTACTGCAGACAGCCTACCTGATTTAGCTGCAGAAGCAGAAAATAAGAAGAATGAGAATATTTCAGAAAGTCTAAAGAATTATGGGAAATAACATGAAAGAAACAAAAAAGCAAGAAACTGATTATAACTCACCACAAAACTTGGAAAACAAGGAAAGACGCATATATGTTCACCTTTCTGCTAACTCGCGTTCAATTTGAACACGAAAGCAAGAAGTGATCTGATTTCCGGTGATCCAGAAGCCAGGTTACTTATGTCTATCTTAATCCAAGTTAAAATCGAGTCAAATAGGAGTCGGAACAAAATCGCGGCGGTGCAGATGCGCATAACTCCAGTTTTGGCTTGATGCGGATTGAGGCAGACTCTCTCTTGTTAGGGAAGGTTATTTCTCTCTCTCCCCACTTCCCCCCTTCCTTCTTCTCTTGCTTGCTTATCAGAGCTAGCGACATTTGTTCTTCAACCCGACCCCTCCTCCTTCATTTACCCCCTCCTGTTCAGCACCTGCAAGTCTGACCAAGTTCTTGAAATAACCTATTTATCTTCCGTTCCTATCCATCGATACCAAACAGAACAAGAATAGTTGCAGGTAAAAACATCGATACATACAAAGAAGCAAGGCGTACACAATCCAAGTTCGAAAAGTTGATGAAAAATCATGGTCTTAACCGCGCAAGACCCCCGGTAATCACCGAATAGCTCAAAATACGACCGCGTTTACTCATTCTATTTCAGCATAACTCCTCCATCAGACCACCTCCAATGCGGAAGGAAAGGCGCGACCTGAACCGTAGTCCGAAGCGTATTCATAGAGGCCCTGCGCCTGTCGCTCGGTCATATTCAGCTCCATCAAGTTCCAAGGATCTACACCGTGTGGACCATGCTAGGTCTTCCGATACTCGCATGTCGATGGAAGGAAAGGCTTCACAACACGCGAAAATCAAGCCCAAGGAGGATGTGCAACGATCCAAGAACAACGAAGCCAAGAAGTGCGAGAATCAAAGACCACCACCACCGCGTCCACCATTACCTGAGAAACGAACGCAGACTCCTTCGACGAGCAGCTTTATGGACTTCGGCGTACAATGCGATTTGACAGAAGTATGTCCTCCAGCAAAAAGATTGCGAGAAGATGAATTGGAGTCATCTGGTAATACTACATTTCCCGCAGTGAACGCAAACCCACCAATGTGAGCGCATATATTTCATTAGAAATTGTCGGACATCAATGTCAAATATTCAGCGTTT